TATATATGGGGGGTGTAAGGGTCCCCCCACTTAGCCAGGCTGGCCTCAAGCTTCAGCAAGCCTGCCTCGGCCTCCCAGGTGCTAGGGTTCCAGGTGCATGCTACCAGTCCAGCAGGACTGTGTTCTTCTGACTCAGCTGAGTGATGCGGAGGTCAAACAGTTTAAAGTCTGGGCAGCCTGAACAGTGCTTTAACAATAACTCCCTGTTGAGTTACTGAGCCTCAACCCAGAATGTAAAAGGAGGAATTGTTCACTGGGCTAGGAAAGTTCGTCCTTTCTTTCTTTCCTTTTCCTTTTCTTTTTTCTTTTTTTTTTTTTTAAAGGGCTGGAGGAGGGAAGGGTTAGGGGTGGGGCAAGTGCGACAGAGAAAATAGGAGGGCGGTGTGACCAAGGGGCCTGAGCACCGTTCTAATGCTGTGCTCCAAGCCGGCTGCACTCAGACTGCTTCCTCTTTAAAGGATCGCAGAAGGGGATCAGAGGGCGGGGCACACCGCGCCTGAGAAAACTCGAGCCGGAAAACAGCGAGAGAGGAAGGAAGCGGATCGCGACTGCAGAGTTCTAATCAACCTTCTTCCTAGGGAACAGCTGGAACATTTCATCTCACTAAACGACGCACAAGCCCCAGGCCACTTCCTGCCGAATGTCTTCATTCCGCCAAAGGAGCGGCCGGTGCCCGGTGTGACTGGAGCTGTGTCCAGCGCAGCAAGTTCTGTCCGCGGTTCATTGGCTCTGCGGGGCCGCGGGTAGCAGCCTGCTTCCTGTTTTAAAGGAGTTGTCTCCAAAGGTGCCCGTTTTCGCTTTCTCTTCTGAGACATGGCGTTCGTGATTTTTGTCCTTCAGCTGGTCCTCTACATCCTGTTATTTCCCATGTACCTGCTGAATTTTCTGGGCTTATGGAACTGGATTTGCAAACAATGGTTTCCTATCTTTTTGTCGAGGTTCACTGTGAAGTACAACCAGCAAATGGCAAGCAAGAAGCGGGAGCTCTTCAGCAACTTGCAGGAGTTTGCAGGTCCCTCAGGGAAGCTCTCTCTGCTGGAGCTGGGCTGTGGCACTGGGGCCAACTTCAAGTTCTACCCGCCTGACTGCAGGGTGACCTGTATTGACCCCAACCCCAACTTTGAGAAGTACTTGATCAAGAGCATCGCTGAGAATCGACACCTGCAGTTTGAGCGCTTCGTGGTGAGTGCCGGTGAGAACATGCGCCAGGTGGCCGACGGCTCCATGGATGTGGTGGTCTGCACCCTGGTGCTGTGCTCCGTGAAGAGCCCGGAGCAGATCCTCCGCGAGGTGCGCAGAGTGCTGAGGCCGGTGAGTGAACTCGCGCGAGGAGGTTAGAGCAGCCGTCTCCCCGAGCAGTCCTGTCCATTGCGGGTGGATGCTAACATTAAACCAGAAACTACTAGAGAAGACATGGGTCTTTTTGTTTAGTTTTGTTTTGATCTTTTTGAGACAGGGTCTCTCTGTGCAGTTCAGGCTGCGTTGAGCTCAATTTGTAGCCGTCTTTTTCTTTTCTTTTTTTAAAAAATAATTTTATTGAGAAAGAAGTAGCAATGAGACCGTTTCAAAACAGGTTAGTGGGCCAGTGCAAGGGCCTGAGTTCAATCCCCGGTTCAGTCAAAAAAAAAAAAAAAAAAAAAAAGGTTAATAGTTCAATTACAATAATTAATACATTACATATTGTTGTTTTTGTAGTAGTTATTCATAGTACAAGATGCAGACATGATAGCCTGTCTCCAGGCTGGTCTTGAACTTGCGGGATCCTTCTGCCTCAGCCTCCAGAGTGCTGGGATTACAGGTGTGTGACACTACCTCCGTCCAGCTTTAGAGAAGACATTATTGAATTTAAAAAAAAAATCTTAAGAGGGAAAAACTGTGAAGGGAAGAATTTATAAATCTGTATGGATAAAATTCTAAGACTTGGAGAATAAAATGTCCTATAACAAAGTTTAAGTACAAAAACAAACTTGGAAAAACCATTTCCCAGGGATGATAAGCGATGGGTTAATCTCTCTCATGCCAAATAACATTACAGCTGAAAGTGGTGGTGCCTGCCTGTAATTTTAGCACTCTGGGAGGCTCAGGCAGGAGGAATTCAAAGTTCAAGCCCAGCAGGGGCAACTCAGAAAAGCCCAGGCTCAAAAAGGCGCGTGTGGGGGAGGGGGAACGGCTGGGATGTAGCTTAATGGGAAGGCCTTGGATTCAATCTCCAGCACTAAAGAAAAAAGCCATTACAAATTAATAAGGTCGGTAATTTTTTAATCAGGAGAAAACAAAAGAGGAAGAGGTATGAGTAACAGAAACACAAATTAGCCAATCATATAAAAATGCTCAAGTCCATAGTTAAAGAATTGACTAAAGTAGACACCGTTGTACCTAGTATATTGCCAGACTTTCAGAGCCGACATGATACTGAGGTGGGTTTGGGGACCGGACGCTTTCGTACACACTGGCAGAAAAGCCTTTGAGGCTCATTTCATAATCCTGCAACTGAGAGAGCACCTACTCTTCGTAAGAATCTATCCTCCAGGTAAAAATGTACAGAACTTGTCCCCATGCAAGGAAATTCATAACTGAAATATAAAATATTAAACAGCACAAACTGGAAATAATCTATGTGTCCATCATGAGAATGTTTAAGCAAACAGTCACATAGCAGAAAGCAATACTATTTCACTATTTGAAAGAACAAGCGTGGTCCCTGTTGATAGGAAAAAATCCTCAAGAGATAATGTTAAATGAACAAAACAATCAAAGCACAGAACATGGAGAAAAAGGCCCACTGTATGAAAGGAAAAAGGGTTTTCGTGCCTGCATGTGTTATGCAAATGACAAAGGAAAAAAAAAAAA